AAAAAGCCGCCGAATCCATCCGATGCCCCTGCCGCTTTCCCAGAGGTGCCCGAGATCAGCGACTGCAAGGCTCAACGCCCCGAGCCAGGACAGTGCACACTATCGCCAGATGCGATGAGAGCCAGAGCCCGACGTGTCTTTACACCCCGTGCCAATGGCACCAAGAAGGTGAGCGCCGAAGTGTTCGCTGAATGGCATAGGGGCCGAGGTGATCCCGCCCGTCGCCGGCTGGAATTAATTTTTCAGCAGTGCGGCTATGATCCGGACGAGGGTTCTATCTATGGGTCGTGCTCTAATTGATACTACAATGCTTTCCTAAGGGCGAGGGCTATTGAAGTAAATGCCTCCCCCTACAGGAGGTCTTCGTCTGCGAAGTCGAAGTGCTTCGGGCCGAGCTACAGGAGCGAGACATCACTGTGGAAGGCGAGTTCCTAAGTGATCAGCAGATGATAGATGAAGGCATTTCTGAGCACCCCGACTGCAGACTGTGCAGATCTAGTATTCAGGGCTGCTAGAATCCCAAAGGCAAATAAAATCATAAACCTCCTATCACCCCAAAAAATCCAGAAACCATATGTCACCCCTGTACGTACATGAGGGTTACAAAGTTAGTAGTTACATAGTGTCTTATTTATAGAGTTTCTTTAGGTCCGGTTTTAAGTTTGTACATCCCGCCCTAGCAACTTCCCAAGCAAGTAGAGGACTGCTCGAGTCGATGAATAAGATGTATAGGGTTTTCTCCTATCCTGCTGAGGAAAAGAAGGGAGGCCATCAAAAAGCATTGCAGATCGAACTGCAAACAGTTGATGAGGACTACATCTTGCTGATGGTTGGCTCTTGTCTTTCGCCCCACTCTGTTGCATGCTGCAGGAGGGACACCTATGAAAAGATCAACTTGTACTACGTCGAGAGGCACATCAAGGGCTACTTCAAGCGACCAGGCTTGCAATATACAACATGTGGGTGCTTTGCTATCCGACAGAGGGCTAACATCCCTTCATTAAGGCAGAACCAGAAGATGGAAATCAAGAAGCGGGCCAACTGGACCGAGAAGGGTGTGGAGGGCATCATGGAGTTGGCGCCTGAGAGTGGTGCCGACATCCCGCTAGGCCAGCTGTGCAGCCTGCGGTTCAGAGCTCATTTTCGACATTAGGCTGCTGGGCCGGAGTAAGATATACACAATCTACTAGTGTATATATAGTATACTAAAGTATAGTATAGCACAACATAGCATCGCATAGCGAAACTACGATAACACAGTAGAGTATAGTAGTATACACGTCGTCGTCGTAGTAGTATAGTAGTATAGTAGTATAGTAGTATAGTAGTATAGTAGTATAGTAGTATCTATAGTAGTCGTAGTAGTAGTCGTAGTAGTAGTAGTAGTAGTAGTAGTAGTAGTATAGTATCAGTAGTAGTAGTATAGTAGTAGTAGCAGCAGCAGGAGTAGTAGTAGTAGTAGTAGTAGTAGTAGTAGTAGTAGTAGTCGCACTAGTATACTAGTAGTAGTATAGTGGTAGTAGTAGTAGTAGTAGTAGTAGTAGTAGTAGTCGTCGTCGTAGTCGTAGTAGTAAATGTAAAGGAAGTCGTAGTAGTAGTATATAGTAGTAGCAGTAGCAGTAGCAGTAGCAGTAGCAGTAGCAGTAGCAGTAGTAGTAGTACTAGTAGTAGTAGTAGTAGTATAGTAGTGGTAGTAGTAGTAGTAGTAGTAGCCCCTAAATCCTATATACCCTAAACCCCTATAAACCCTAAAACCCTAAACCCCTAACACCCTAAACCCCTAAACCCCTAAACGCTTACACCCCTAAACCCAAGTATAAAACCTATAAACCCTAAACCCCTACACCCCAAAATCCACCCTAAACCCTGCAGGGCCCCATCTGGCTTCCCAAAAAGGATGTCATGCTTACGGCCACTCAAACCCAACAGGTTTTTACGGGTTTAGGGTTTACAAGGGTTTAGGACAGATTAAGTCCCGCACTCTCCAGCTTAGACTGAGTCTCGAACCCGACAAACCACCAACTTCCAAACCCTAATCCTCATAACGACGCCGCAAAACCCCCGAGACCCCAACCTCCAAACCGAAACTGCCCTGAAAACCAATGTGAGAGTATGGTCCCCCTTGAACAAGCTTTTTCGACCCTTGTAGAGCCATTGTCCCCAATCGAATGAATCTTGGTTGTGGTTGCCGATGCCAACAACAAAGCAACCTCAACGCTTGCATTTAAAAGATCGTAGTAGGTTCTGCTTCATCTACCTAAAGCCTAAATTGACTCTTCAACCTATAAACCCTAAGCCCTCAAACCTATACAACCTAAACCCTATAACCCTTAAGCCCTATATAACCCTTAAAGGGTTTATAATTTATAGGAATTTGGGGCCTGGGGGTTTAGGGTTTATAGGGTTTGGGGTTTAGGGGTGTAAGGGTTTAGGGGTTAAGGGGTTTAGGGTTTTAGGGTTTGGGGTTTAGGGTTTTGGGTTTTGGGGTTCGGGTTTAGGGGCTACTACTTCTACTACTAGTACTACTATACTACTAGTACTACTACTATTACTACTACTACTACTACTACTACTACTACTACTACTACTAGTGCTACTACTACTACTACTCCTGCTGCTGCTGCTGCTACTGCTGCTGCTACTACTACTAGTGCTACTATACTACCACTACTACTACTACTACTACTGCTGCTGCTGCTGCTGCTGCTGCTGCTACTGCTGCTGCTACTACTACTACTACTAGTGCTACTATAGCAATGGTGCTGCAGCTGCTGCTGCTGCTGCTGATGATATACTCTACTATACTCTACTCTACTCTACTCTACTATACTATACTATACTCTACTCTACTCTACTATGCTAACCTTCCTGGCAGGCATGCCCGGATCATCCTCCGATTTGGAGGGAGCCTTGAACGAGATGGACGCCGACAATGACGAAGAGGAGGAAGAGGCTTGCAAAGCTCGCAAGAAGCTGGGTATGCCCGAGTACGACCCCAAGGAAAGCTTGCTCGTCAGCATGCCCAAGGTTATGCCCCTGGCACGAAATTATATGTACTTAACCCTATATACCCTAAACCCTAGAAACCCTAAGCCCTAGAAACCCTAAACAAGAAACACATACTTGGTCATAAACACTTCACCAGCTGAGCACCCTTCCTTGTAGATCGCCAAGTGCACTAACCTTACAATAGCAAGCCTTCGAAGGCTTCAGACTTGAATTTTGACAAACCACAATTAATTGCACCCCAGAAAGATCCAGGCCCAAGCCAAAGCCCCCGAAGTCGTCTAGAATAGACAAAAATATAATTAAGCACCTTTGAGCCCAGGACCTCCACGGCCAAGCGGTTGAAGAAGGTGCAGGCCTTGAAGAAGCGGTTCGATGATGCTGTTAAAGCAGGTGTTGCACTCGACAGGGTTCAGGGTCAGCTACTTGTTCGAAAAGATGATCTAAACACAAGTTTTTGCGATACTACTGTACTATACTACTACCGCTATTTTTAAAACCACAACACACACTAGCACTATATCGTTGCCACTCTATAGCAGCATAGCTTTTTACCACTACTTTAGATGCACCTCCTGCTGCTATGCTCGCACACCACTATATAGTACTGCTGCTGCAACTACTACTACCGGCACTGTTACCATGGCACTGACTAGATCCTACTAGATCCTACTCGGGCCAAGTCCAACTTAGGTTTCATTCGGCCATTACGGACAACGTGAATGCCATGGTCAAAGCAGACCAGAAGTTGTCGAACCTCTACAGTGCCAGTGTGGTGCATGGTTTCTCGAAAGAGTGCCTCGTCTAGATGGCACCGACGTGTGCTTTAATCTGAGTTTTGTGGCCGCTACCAGGAAGGCCCCCACGGCACAGAAGTACATCGAAGACTGCATTGCTGCGCCAATGCCTTACGAGAAATCTATTATCATGATGTCAGGGGACAAAGTAGGTTAAAAACTGTCAGCATGGTGCAAGTGCTGCTCAGGGCCACGGAGTCCTTGGGACTGGAGACCCGTTCGAGGCACTTTACATGTACGCATACAAGTGTTGTCGTGAGTGTGAGAGTGAGAGTGTCTGGCAGAGAGGAAGAGAGAGAGAGAGAGAGAGAGTGAGTGAGTGTGTTTGTCTAACAAGTTGCATCCTACGCGAGTCCTTTGTCTGTGTGTCTCTCTTCTTCTCCATCCCCTCTTTATTTGATGTGTTTCTCTGTCTCTCTCTGTCTCACTCAGTCACTGTTCCACTCACTCACTCGCTCTCTCTCTCTCTCTTTTTCTCCTTCCATGTGCTGCTGTGGGGGTATCCTTGACCTGTTGCCTTCACTCCCAATGAGAGGCCCTTCTTGCCGAAAGCTGTGGTCAACAACCCTGCTGGAGCGCGAAGGGTGGTGAAGCAACTTCCCAAAGGGAAAGCTAAGGCCAAGGCGACTCCGAAAAAGCGAGCCGCTGCAGAGCCCAAGACTCCTGCAAGCAAGAAGCCCAAGAAGTGATTCTGGGCTTCGTGTGGGATGATGTTTTTCACACTCACACAGAGTGAACCGAGTGTGTGCATCTGGATCCCCTAGATCGATGGATCATTGTGCCAGCAGCTAGCAGCTATGTAGCTCTACATCAACAACGAACACAGAGCACAAGAGGCATCGATTAAATTTGAAATTCAGTGCTGCTGAACAGCACGTGTGCACCTAGCTGCCCATATGGGCGATCTGTCTGCTGAGAGCAAGCACACAGGGTGAAAGGTGTGCTGACAAAATAGTGCAACCCGCTTACAATCACATCTGTCTCGAAGCCTACTTGATAATATGGCCATTCAGCCATTCTTAAAACGACGTGCCAGGTGAAGATCGTGACGATGTTGTTCGGGATGGGGGCTCTGGCTCCCAGGCTCTGGCTTATGCCGAGGCTCTCGCAGATTGTGTCGGGTCCTTAAGCTACATATCCAGATGGAAGTATAATGCGGGATATGGAACCTGTATGGCTGTATTTGGGGAAGCCTAGGTGCCTGCAACAACCTTGCAGTCCTTGGCGAACACCGTCTCCATCGAGCAGCCTTCCAGCCTGGGGCCGCAAAGAAGCACTGATGCGACAGCCAATGCATTTAGAACAGCGAGCAGGTTCGTGAAAAGGTGGGGCTTACAATGGAAGATTCCGATATCGACTTACGAGCATAGCGACGATGTTCACATCCCCTTCCTGGCTCCACGCGATATACTTTCACACATGATAGGCAAGTGCCCTGAGCTTCTTTTCGGAGGATACAAAACACGAGACAAAATTCGTGAACTGCTTTCCAACTTCTGGTGCTCATACAGGGCTTGGCATCCGAGCCACGAGGTTTTTCGAGAGGCCCGCGACGGCGATTTGAACCTTCATTACACGCTGCCTATCCTGATCCACGGAGACGAAGGCCGTGGAGTTCGCAAAGGGAACGTCGCTGTTTGTTCAATGGAAACTCCATTTGGCCTGGCAACCCACACTGAAGATCGTTCTTGCGAGTGGCCATGCTGTGATCCGAACAACAAGGACACAACACCATGTGCCTGGCAGACTGTCAACCTGCAGTTTCACTCCTTCCTTACGAAGTACCTCCTCTTTTTGATGCCCAACAAGATATACAAGCAAGAGGGGGTGCTTGCCGGACTGCTCCGTGCTGTATTTCTACAACTTCGTTGTCTCTTCTTCGAAGGGATTCAGATTGGTCAACAGATTTGGCACGTGGCTGTCATAGGCTGCAAAGGTGACATGGCCTGGTTTCTGAAGCTGGCGGATTTGGATCGCAGTTTTGCACGGCTCAGCAAAAAGCAAGATCAGATGTGCTGTCACGAATGCCTCGCAGGCTGTACTGCGATGCCCTTCGAAGACCTGTCAGATGATCCTGGTTGGGCCCCATCCGTGTACACTCAGCGACCCTGGCTTCAGGAGCCTGCTAGTGGACTGTGTCTCATTCCATATGATGTCGCTTGCCCTGAATCCATCCTTCGACGGGACATCTTTCATAATCTGAAGGTGGGGGTCCTTCAGGACTTCATCGCTGGGTCCCTAGTAGTGATAGCAAACTTCGGTTATTTCCATGAAGGCGCGAACCACATCAACAACTCCATCGTCACCGTTCTTTCCAGGATGCATGGACACTTCAAGTTGTGGTGTGCTGCCATGGGCAAGTCCCCAAGCTTGCAGGGCTTCACGAAACAGTTTCTCAACATCCCAACAAAGAAACATTATGGTTGGAGCAAATCTAAAGGAAATGATTCAGTTCTGCTTGTGCAGTGGCTTTTGGTCCTGACGAAAGCTTGTGAGCGAGACCTGCGACGGGAAGATGATCGCGGTATGCTGGAGGCCATCTACACAGCAGCAAGTGCTGCAAATGACTGGCTCAAGCATATGTATGCTCATTCCCTGTGGTGGTCGCAAGACTGTGCAAAGAAAAGTTTGGAGCTTGGAACTAAGTTCATTCGAACATACGGTTTCTTGGCCTACACAAGCCTTCACAAGTACAAACTTTCCACGTATGCAATCAAGCCGAAGTTACATATGCTGCACCACAGCACCCACTCGCTTCGATGCGATTTGCGACGAAATCTGAAACAGATACCTTCGCTACTTCTTTCCAACTGTGAGATGAATGAGGACTTTATTGGAAGGATTTGCCGCACGGCAAGAAAAATGCACCAGCGGAATGTATGCCAGCGAGTGCTGGAAATGTACTTGATCAAAGGCTATGCTTTACACAAGCGGTTCTTGAAAGGCCCAGGTCTGCATGCTCGCAAAAAGCGAAAGCACAGCTGAGTTTCCGACGGAATGTTCCAGGCAGCCGAAGCAATGGAAGCACATAGGATGTATTGTTGTTGCAGAGATGTTGCTTAGGGGAAGTTTATTATCTCTAGCTTAGGGGAAGTTTATTATCTCTAGACGATGCCTGGCAAGATCATTCCGGCTCTAATTTATAATTCGCGAACTTGCCGGAATTCTCAGTGCCTCTCGCAAAAGGTGTCTTGTCGGAGCCTCAGTCTTGAGCTTTGGGGAAGCGGCTGGAAGCAACCCATCCCACACAAGCCCGAACTTCAAAATCCCATCAAACACCCCCCAAACCTGAAACAACCAAAAAAAAACCAAACAACCAAAATTAAGCGAAACTACTAAAACATTGGTTGTTCCACCAAACGCCTGAAATAATAGGCACCGGAGGCTCCAGGTAAACCCTAAACCCTAAACCCTAATACGCACAATGCCAAACGTCAAAGGTTGGCCTTTCGTCCCCTTTTTTCGGTGGGATCCGAGCACTTTATCTGAGCGCTTTATACTGGAGCCTCCAAACCCGCGTGTTTTAGGGGTTTAGGGCTTAGGGGTTTAGGGTTCGGATCATTTCGGGGTTTGATCTTTTACCAGGTTTTGTTGGGTTTATATTGGATTGTTTATAGTTGTAATTTGGCTCATATACCCTTACCCTCCAAGGACTCATATTTTAAGGCTCTTGGGCCCAAAGACCCTATTATATAAGGCATCCGGGCTATTTTGATGCTAAGGGATAGGACTGAGGCCCAGTACTTCAGTTACAGTCAAGGGCTCTACGCCCTCCAAACCCTCCGATGAAGTTCTGGATCCCTAAACCCTAAACCCTAAACCCTGAACCCTGAACCCTAAACCCTAAACCCTTCAACTCTTTGGGCTTTTGGGTTAAGCCCCCTATACGAAAGCCTTCGTAATGCCCTCCTATAATAAGTTTAGAAGCCTTTGTTCATGCATCCTTTAATGGAGCCCTCGTCTAGTCGTTCAGGCCTTTATATTGCAAACTGTAGACCCGGCCTCCCCCAACCCGAATCCAGAAAGCCCTGAACCCTACTTGGAGTTTCGTGGGTAAGGGTTTAGGGTTTAGGGTTTACCCCAAATTATACGCAACTAAAAGTACAGATACCTTCTCTATAACCCTTGATTGCGCGTCTGCACCGCCTCGCGGCATCGCTGAGGTCGTTGCACAGCCGGTTCTGCAGGTCACCCCAGCTCCCGCGCGAGGGCGAGGGGCAAAAAGGGGCCGCAGCCCACCATGGGAAGATGCGACCGGACGGGCCTCGCCACTGACATGGTATCTCTGGGAGCGCTCCCAGAGACTCTAATACCCCTAAAAAAGGAAGAGACTTTAAATTGTTTTAGGGATCCTACTATAATTTAAGGTATTCTCCCTAATTATAAGGGGTATTGGAGTCTCTGGGCAACCAGGCACTTCTACGGACCCCCGATTTGTCTCGAAACCGAACCGGGACTCGACTTCCTCGGATTCACCATCCACCCCACGGTTGAGGGCTTAGGGTTCCCAGCATCCACTACAAGGCCACCAACAACCTCACCGACATTATGTCACGGCAAGTCGAGGGGCCTCTCCAAGAGCTGAAGATTGTTGTGGAGGATCTCGAGATCGGAGCAAATTCCCCGGGCAATTCCGATTCAATTTTAGAGTTCAGGGCTGGGCGGTTAGGTTTTAGGGTCGTTATAGCAGGTTCATTCGGTTGGAAGAGGGTTTCCGGATGATTGGTTTTGGGATGCTCTAGACTTCCTCAAGGGGATGTGACTTTTCAACTTTCTTGCTTCGCTGGAATTCGGTCTAGGCCCTAAACCGAGCCCATATCCCTCTAAATATTAAAACTCTTAGATTTCCCTTATAGAACCTTTGAGGAGCCCTTGAAATTACTAAGCCCTATGAACCTTAATAACCTAAACCCCCAGGAATCCCCCATGGAACCCTTTACCATAGATGCCTCATAGAGCCCTTGAAGTAATTAAGGGTTTATTTAGGGCTTAGGGCTTAGGGCTTTAGGTTTAGGTTTAGGGCCCTAAACCCTAAACCCTAGACCCCTTTAAGTAGACCCACCGCTTCAAGGCCAAGACCCACGACTTCCTCCGCATGCTCATGCACGGGCCCCGGTGGGGAAGAACTCTCCCAAAGGCTCCATGTACCTTGTAGTAGTTACTTAAGCCCTAAAGGGGTCCCTATATAGGTACTTTAGGGCTTAAGTATCTGCTATAAAGGTACATAGAGCCTTTGGGTCTTGAGTTGGGGTTTCTTTAAGGGGTTCTTTGAATGGCTTGAAATCTTGAGTTAGGGTCTTTTGTTTAAGGGTTCTTTCAGGGGCTACGATAACAGCCCCTATGCCACACAAATAGTAGGTTGTGATCCTTTACGTGAGTTTCTGGATCCACGGGTAATAGGTAACCCTAAACCCTAAACACTAAATTCCCCCATAGAGCCCGAAATCATGCCTCAGAAGCACGAAACCCTTAAGACCACCAGTTCTCAAGCCGAAACTGCCAGGTTCATGGGCTTATGGTTTAGGGTTTGGGCTCTAGGCTTGAAGTCGAATTCGAGAAGCGCCCTTCTCAAACTCGAACCCGAGAAGCCCCTTCGAATTCGATTTCAAGGCCCCCCTTCAAGGCTTCCATGTCAGCCCTCCTTCCCGAATTCCAGGGGTAGGGGACACTACTTCCTGAAATAGCCTTCCAATACCCCTTAAACCAGGTCTCTATTAGGGGTACGGGGGCAGGAGTGTGGGGTTTAGGGTTTAGGGTTTAGGGTTTAGGGCCCCTTAACCCTCAAACCCCAAACCCTAAAACCCTAGAACAGCCCTTCATACGGAGATCCGGTTCGGGTCCTTGCTGAGGTATCCCCCAAACTCCCAACCCTAAACCCCTGAACCCCTAA